TTTGGATAACAGTGACACTTTCTCAAATGTGAAATATATACCTATACTTGGAAAATAACAAAATGATTATTTACGCCTAGACCACAAGTTGACTATAATTGTTCAACTCACAAACATTAATGATATTTCTAAATAAGTTGAAAATAAAACACAAAAACTTTTACTGGTTTTAACTTAAAAAGCAACGCTTCACTTACACACATACAAGCACCCACATATATACCAGATAATTTTAGAAATATCTATTACTAGAGACACACAAACAAATCTGGGAACCGAGTGGCTCTTGGCAGAAATGCCTCCGGATTCGCATTAGGCCACCTTTTCTCCGGGCCACTCCAGACAGGAGCAGATGCCATCCCTCCGCCTGTTCCCTGGGAAGCCCAGTGGCCACCATTTTCCAGAGCTCACTGGAAAACCCAGGTACAGGCCAGCAGTGATGACACACATTGGGCCTCAAAGATAGGGGAGGAGTCAGTCCTTCTCCTCCCCAGCCCTGATGGGACCCTGAGATGACATCCACCAATGGCCCCCAGCTACTTATTAAGCTCCTTAATGGCCATGATCCCAGAGACACACAAACAAATTTTGGAACTGAGCAGTGTTTGCTAGAAATCTCTCCGGACCCTAATTATTAAAATTTTAGAATTCCAAGACCTCGAGGCCACTCCCGTGGCTGCGCAACATCAACTGTTCCTCATAACCAGCAATACAAAACAAATTGTCTAATGTTGCCTTTTTGGCAGATCTGAGTGTTGGGAGAAATTCCAAATAATAATGGTAGAACTGGTGTCGAAATATTGACTATAATCAAAGTAGAGAGTAATGTGGAATTTATCCGCCAAACAGGCAGGGGTAGATGTGGGGTGGGAGGTATACTGGGGTTCTTGGTGGTGGAAAATGTGTACTGGTGAAGGGATGGGTGTTTGAACATTGTATAACCAAAACTCAAACATGGAAAGCTTTGTAACTGTTCTCACGGTGATTCAATAAAAAATTTTAAAAAAAGAAGTATCTATTACTAATAAATCTTACATTTTATCTGGATTAACTGCTAATAAAAAGATGGCTGAGCTTTCTGAAATCTGTATTATACAAACATTTGTGTTAGTTTCTTTGGCAAAAATAGGATGAATTTCTAGTTCAATGAATTAGAAAAAGAATTTTCAGTATTGGATCAAATTTATTACAATATACTTTATGACACTATTGTAAATAAAATTGAAGAAAAAAGATGAATGATTTCCTTCTTTTAAAATACTGGCATTCTGCATCCACAGCCAGCTCAGATCAAACAGAAAGCCATTTGAGCCATGTTTAAAGGTATTGCATATTTCACTGGCTTTCTAGAGCAGGACTAACGTGGTGCTTGTATTGTAATTCTTTACCTCTCAATTAAAACAAAAACAATCAGTGGTTTTAAAAGTTCATTTCTTTCTGGGGCCGGAGTAATAGTGCCAAAGGGTAGGATGCTCGACTTGCATGAGACTATCCAGATCGATCCCACACCCACACCATCTCCCACGCAGCAGCAGGAGTGATCCCTAACCAGGAGTCAGCCCTAAGCACCACCTTGTGTGATCAGAAAACAAACAAAAATCAAGCTTGGCATATATGATAAGAAAAAAAGAACATAACTGTAAAAAATGCTAAGAAAATACACAAAAGTATTCTCACCACACATCTGAAGAACAACAGTTTCAATACTGAACTGCCTTTAAAAGTAAATTCACACTATAACCATCATATTCTAGGCAAAAACACTACATATACCTAGAAGATAGGTGTAAAACTATTTCCTCAAGCTCTCTATCTCTTTTTCTTTTTAAAACATTAAAAGTTTGGGGGCTGGAGAGATAGCACAGCGGGTAAGGCGTTTGCATTGCATGAGGCTGACCCGGGTTCAATTCCCAGCATCTCATATGGTCCCCTGAGCACCGCCAGGAGTAACTCCTGAGTGCAGAGCCAGGAGGAACCCCTGTGAATCGCCGGGTGTGACCCAAAAAGCAAGCAAAAAAAAAAAAAAAAAACCCAACCAAACAACAACAACAACAAAACATCAAAAGCTTGTATTTCTTCTCTGTTGTGGTGGCACTGGGTAGTGCTGGGCCAGGTTCTCTCTCATTGGTTCTTGTTCCTGAGGCGCCAGTGATCAGTTGCAGTCTCAAATACGCAAGACAGGGCTCAGTGTCCTATGGCCCAGCACCCAGGAGAGACCAGCTAGCATACCTTCTCTCTAGCTAAATGATCATCACATCTTCCTTCTGTCCTGATTAGAATTAAAACCATAAGTTAACTCATTTCTTTCTTAATTTTTATTAGTGAGACACCTTGAGGTACAGTTGTAGACTTACAAATTTTTGTGCTTGAGTTTCAATTATACAATGATCAAGTACCCATCCCTCCACCAGTGCCCATTTCCCACCACCACGGGTCCCAGTATCCCTCCCACCCCCCATCTCCCCCATCCCACCCTGCCTCTGTGGCAGAGCACTCCCTTTTGTTCTCTCTTTCCTGTTGGGTGTTGTGGTTTGCAAAAGAGGCAATGGGTGGCAATCATGTTTGGTCTATAGTCTACTTTCAGCATGCTTCTCCCATCCTGGGAGGATCCTCCCAACACTCTTTATTTGGTGCTCTCTTCTCTATCTGAGCTCCCTTTTCCCCTAGCATGTGTGGCTGGCCTCCAAGCCATGGAGTAAAATTCCTGGTACTAATCTCAGCCATTCTTGGGTGTTAGTCTTCTATTTCTTTACTTTATGTTCCCCAGGTGACTTGTTAAAGAAACTTTGGTATATTTACACAATGGAGTACTTTGTAGCTGCTAGAAAAGACGAAGTCAAGAAATTTACATACAAGTGGTACACATGGAAAGTATCATGTTAAGCAAAATGACTCAGAAAGAAAGGGATAGACATAGAAAGATTGCATTCATTTTTTTTTTTTTTTGGCTTTTTGGGTCACACCCAGCAATGCACAGGGATTACTCCTGGCTCTGCACTCAAGAGTTACTCCTGGCGGTGCTCAGGAGACCATACAGGATGCTGGGAATCGAACCCGGGTCGGCCGCGTGTAAGGCAAACGCCCTACCCGCTGTACTATCTCTCCAGTCCCTCGTTTCTAATGTAAAATACTTCCCCCTTACTCTTCTCAAAGGAAACTACCATACACAAATGTTGAGAGCAACATACCAGTTACTTATTTTAGGCATTTTGGAAGTAAAAAACTTAATACAGCATATCTCAAATATATGTAATAACTTTAACTTTAGCAACAATTTTTTCAAACACAATGTGCATGGGAAACCATTATCAACAATGTTGTATATCAAAGAACTTCAAACAATAAACAGATAATTTGCACACAATTAGACTTCTGCTATGTATAGTGTTACTTGTTTATTTGATACATGTGCTAGAATTCAATGTATTGTTTGGTTGTCGACTTTACTAATGGTTTTTACTTTACCATTTACCAAATCTCTTTCGTTTGGTTATTCAAACTAAATTTTGCAAAGAACTCTAAGAATGTGGTAGGAGCTTCTTTTGGGAGAAAATCTACCTCTTTCCTAAAATATTTGAAAATGTTTATCATTGTTGAGACTTCTGGAAAAGAGTTTAAACTATTGTTTGTAACCTGAACTTTATCAGTTAAACAGGATAAAGTACTATACCTCTTTATTTAATACATACTTGAAGGTTGATTTCCTTCTAGATCAAAAATACTAGTTTGATGGCAGATTTCAAAATATAATTTTTTGTAATCATGTTAAAATAAGATAGACCATTAACCTTATATTCAACAAGCAATGTATTTTTCAAATCTTAAAAACTTTTGAGGATTAAAATTTGCTAAAAGTTGATGAAATATGCTGCTAAAAGTTGATCAAATATGCTATCTCTAAAAAACATAATGGGAAAATTTGTTCATTAGTAATTTTTACATAAAGAACATAGCTGTATCATATTTCAGTCATTAATAGCACTGTAGCACTGTCCTCCGGTTGTTCATCGATTTGCTCGAGCAGACACCAGAAATGTCTCCATTGTGAGACTTGTTACTGTTTTTGGCATATCGAATGCGCCACGGGGAGCTTGCCAGGCTCTTCCGTGCAGGCGGGATACTCTCAGTAGCTTGCCGGGCTCACCGAGAGGGATGGAGGAATCGAACCCGGGTTGGCCATATGCAAGGCAAACACCCTACTGGCTGTGCTAAGGCTCCATCCCCTATTTCAGTGACTAATAACTGAATAAATCCACACATCTACCGTAATTCATTTGCAGATGAAATCCTCCCTACCTTGAATCTTTCCCCAATTTCCACCCTTTAACACACAGCTTTTATAAGAAAACAACAACAACATCATCATTTTAACACCTGTATATAATATTTTTGACAGATTAAAATTAAATTTTGTTTCATTGTGCTTATCAAATGTCACAGATTTTAAAAATCTGAATGTTACTTTTTCACTTTTAAAATAATATGAAGATTTCTGACAAATATATTTTACCTTTTCAGTAAAGTGCAAATTTTAATTTACAGAAACCTGGGCCTTGGGACTAGCAAGGTAACACAGTGGGTAAGGCACTGTTCTTGCAGGTGGTAGGCCTGAGTTCCATCCCAGGCACACCAGTCCTGCTTTGAGTTATCCAAGCACACAGAGTCAGGAGTAAGCCCTGAGGGCCCCTGGGTGTGGCCCCCAAGACAAAAACCACCCCTAAACTTTGCTCATTAAGATCTGGAGACCACTGATTTACATATTCAGCTCTACAAGATGAACCTATTAGTCAAATGTGTGGCGGGGAGGGGGCCTGAGTGGGAGTCTCCCTTCTGTTTCTTTCCTCTCTTTACTGAAGAGCAACACTTCACACTGAACTGGTCTAGACAACAAATAATAAATCCATGCCACTTGGGAGGAACATATTTATCTGGGGGAACATATTAATAACATTGGAAATAAGATGTCCTCTATTCAAATAAATAGGTATAACACAACATACCTGAAAAAGAACATGTACATGGCAGCTGTGATGCTGAACAAAAGGACCTGTAACAAGAAGAGACACGTCACCGCAAGCAGGCGCAGCACGCAAATAAACGCAAGGATCGTCCAACACCTCCCGCCGGAGGGAAACGACCAAGGGGTCATTCTCAACTGTAACAGACTGGCCACAGGAGCAACAGAGTGAAAATAATGCAAAATATCCTATTGCTGCATCTGACACAAACAATTTATAGTCAAGTATAATCATTTCACTATGATAAAATAAGTTTGAGAGATTTGTCATTTCAACTGAAAATAAAACACACAACCTCAAAATTGTAGAAATATATAAACTTTAAAACAAAAAGGATACAAATTACTAAAAAAAGGGTATTTTTATTATTTATTTGATATATAATGGATGCACAACATATTATCTCTCTGATATCTTCACCACTTCTCGCTCTAGGTCCCATTCCACCTTGTTCTCTTTTCTTCTAAAGCTATTACTGTTTTTAGAAATATAACTTAAATCAAAGCACATGTGATAATTTTCTGTAATTTTTTAAAATTCAAATGTTTCATTTATATATTTTTATTTCTTTTTTTAATTATTGAATCACAGAGAGATTTTCTGTCATTATTAATCAATTATAATTAAAGTCTAAGTAATTTTGTTTATAATTTGCCACCACTTATCACTGGCTATAATTTCCCACCCAATGATCTAAATCATAAAACTCAATTTTTATTTCCCTATCATTCTACCTTCCTACTTTGAATAATGCCACTCTCCTCAAATGTTCAATGCTTCATACTTTTCCTACATTACTGACTGGTACCACCATAAACCCTATGTACAAACCACAAATCATTTTCTGCTTTCTCTCCCAAGGAAATTTCCTAGTGTGTTTCTTAGCATGCTTTTGTGAGCCAGAGAAAGAGGAGAGGAGCTGAGGGGCCACAGTTCCACCCTAATACCACACATGCTCACCTGAGAACCTCTAGGAGTAAGCCCTTCGCACCACTGCGTGGAGCCCCCAAAATATTTTTTCAAACAAATAAACTGCTGCTATGCTAAATACCATAAAATTTGACAATACATCATGTTACATAAACTATAATTAAAAAGTTGACTAAACTTACATGACTTAAAACAGCAACAATTAACTTTATGAGGAAAACATCTGAACCTGAGTCAATATATCTCGAGCCAAGCTTTGGAACACCCAAGGTCTGAACTTATTTTTCAATAACTCCAGATGTTTTATATGATTCCCTAAGCCTGAAGCATCTATTGAGATTATCAGACGATTCCTATCTTTTCTTGATCTGATACAGTGTATTACATTAAACTAAATAGATTAAACCATCCTTGAACCTTGGGGTGACTCCTACTTGGTCGTGGTGTATGATCTTTCTTGAGGCAGAGTTGGATTCAGTTTGCTAAAACTTGGTTGCAGATCTTTGCATCAATGTTCATATGTTCATAAGGTTATACGTCTACAGTTTTCGTTTTTCAGAGCTGCCTCTGTCTGCTTTTGTATCGGGGTAATGTTTGTCTCATAGAAACTGTTTTGGAGGATTCCAGTTTCTTCCAATTTCTGGAAGAGTTTGAGAACCAGAAGTAATTATCTTTAAGGATATGAAAGGACTCATAGGGCCAGAGAGATAGTACAGTTGGTGGGGTGTTTGCTTTACACACATCTGACCTGGTTCAACTCCCAGTATCCCAGATGGTCCCCCTAGCCAGTCAGGAGTAATTCCTGAGGGCAGAGCCAGGAGAAAACCCTGAATCCCCCCAAGCAATAAAACAAATACATATTTAAAAGAACTCAGTAGTCAACTCATCTAGGCCCAGGTTTTTGTTTGGAGGGAAACTTTTAATTACTCTTATAATCTCTGCAAGTAATCTGGTTTGTTCAGGTGTTCATTTCCTGTTGATTCAGTCTTGGAAGATTATATAAGTTAAAAAAGCTATCCATTTCTCCTAATTCCTTAACGTTGTAGTGTAAAGGCTTTCCTAATAATCCCCAGTGATTCTTCGAACTTCTGTGGTATCTGTTGGAACATCTCTCTTTTCATTTCTGATTCAGTTTGTTACAGTTTTTTTCCTCTTTCTTTGTGAATTGAGCTAATGGTTTGTCAGTCTTGTTTACTCTAAGGAAAAAAAAACTCATGGCTTTGTTGATCTTTTGAATTTTGTCTTAATTTCCATTTCATTGATTTTTGATCTAAGTTAACACTTATATAATAAGTTATTTCCCACTTTATTTTTAATTTGAACACATGCAATGTTATGAACTTCCGTATTTAACATTGCCACTGCTGTGTTGAATATGGTCCGGTAATTTGCATGCTCATTTTCATATTTTCAGAGGAAACATAATTTCTTCTTTAATTTCCTGTCTGACAAAATTGTTATTCAATAGTATATTGTTTAATAGCCAAATGTTTGAGTTTTTCCTGGTTATTGAAAAAAATAGGGAAGTTTGTAACAATGCATGTGTTCATCAGAAAACAGACAATGGCCCCAAAACTTAACCTGATGGCCCATCCTAAGCTATCAGAAAGAGAACAAAGTAAATTCAAGGTAAATTTGGTGGTGGAATGACACTAAAACTCTGGCAAGGGGGTGGTGAGAGTTATATACATATGCATGTTTGAACCTAATCCCCTGGAATTCTATTAACAATGCAAACTAATGATAAATCAATAGAAAAGTTTTTATTTTATCTTATTTTATTTATTTTTTGCTTTTTTGGGTCACACCCAGCCGATGCTCAGGGGTTACTCCTGGCTCTGCACTCAGGAATCACTCCTGGTGATGCTTGGGGGACCATATGGGATGCTGAGAATCGAACCCGGGTCACCGCATTCAAGGCAAATGCCCTACCAGCTGTGCTACTGCTCCAGCCCCAAAGAGTTTTTATTTTAAAAAGAGAAAACAAAATAATGAGTATGCTCACTGCAGCATGATATACAATAACCAAGATTTGGCAGGTGGATAAGAAAAATAAAGCATATGTACACACTGAAATAGTACTAAGCAATTCAAAAAGATGACACTATATTTTGCTACAACATGGACAGAACTGGAGGGGGTCATGTTAAGTGAAATTAATTCTGAAGAAGACAAATACTGATGACCTCACTGCTGTTAAATATGAAGCAGCAAGGGAATGGACGAGGGCCAGTAAAAATTAACCCTTACACTCTCCCCATGGAATGAAGTTTACAAGGAGGGAGATTAATGTGGATGAAAGGGCAAAGACGGTGGTGAAATTATACCTTTTATAAATTTCATTCAATTTAGTGAAACTCTTATTTTCATGCCCAACTAATAGAAAATAAGTTTCAATATAGTCTCTCTGGAAAAGAGTCCACCAACCCAGTAAGTAAAATATAAGAAAGTGGGGAGTGACAAGAAAGTTTCACATTCCTCAAGGGTTCTATAAAATACTAATTTAGGAAAAAAGGATCAAAGAAATTCTATTGAAATTTCAAAATATTCTAAATATTAAAACTGAAAACTAAAATCTTTACATATTTACATATTAAGTGGAATAAAAGGGAATAATATTGCATGAGTCAGATATCCAAAATAAAGCATAAAAGGAACCATTCTCTCTGTCCTAATGCTGCCACAGATACCACTTTTCAAATCATACCAAAAAATAAATACATAACTCAGAGTAAGTTAAAGCTGAGAAAATATTATGTTTCCAGAGGGCAAAGGAGACAGGCCACCAAAACAAAACTTCATTATTGTAAAAAGACAATTCGTAGTAAATCAGCTATTTTCATCCAGGCATGGTACTTCATTAACCCCAAGTAATACCAGGCTTACAAGGAAGCCACATCTCCCTGAGAGGTGTCACATACACATCTGAGAACTTCCAGATTATTTTAGAGGGTCACAACAAGGCTGCAGATAAACAGCATGTCACTACGATAACTCCAATTTTCAGTATCAGAGAAAAGTGGTAAACATACTTTTTTTTGGAAACGTACTATTTTAAGGGTTTTGCTGTGATCCATTTAAGGTGATCAGTTACCAGCACTCATCCCATGATGTCACCAACCCACAGCTGTCTGCACATGAAGTCCAGGTGAATTCCTCATCTTTTAGGCGATGAGAACTCAACTCCAGATACAGTATGCACACAAACAAAGACACACACGAACATGTCATAAACACCAGTATACACCATCCTTTCACTGTTGCTGTCTTAGTTGGCACAAGATACTTTACTCACAGTAGGATACAATGGAATGTTGCCTTCTGCCCATACTCAAACCATCTGCAGTCCTCTGGACATTTGCGCATTCCAGAATTTATGTGAAAAATTCATGCATACCTTGATAAGGTATGCATTGCTCATATCCATCTTGATTCTCACTGTATCTAGACCGCTGTAAATTCCTCTCTGCACTCCCAACTCACTACCCATTTCTCTTAACAGGATCCTGAATTAATGTATTTAATTATTTTTCTAATTAAAATTTTTAAAGTATACTGAAAGTGAGCATTATCGTAATACACAGAAATACACACACACACACAGCGCGCACAGGTGCTTCTTCAATGCTTTCTGAGCTTTCGTACATCAAGGGAACACAATAGATCCATGCTTCACAACTGTGTCAGGTGACCTTTAAGAAAATTGCTTCAGTTGAGTCTTTTCCTTCCTCAACCAATAAGAGAGATTCAGTATTATTAAGTATTAGTAATACTTAATATAATCCAGTATTATTGAGAGGCATAAAAATACTAGAATATAAAGCTTTTAAAAATACCTACAACCCGTATTAAAATAGTTCAGAGATACAAATAAATGGTCAAAGAATTTACAGTCACAACTGATGTTTTCAAACCCTAAATTGGGGCCAGAGCAATAGCACAGTGGGTAAAGCATTTGCCTTGCACGTGGCCGACCTGGGTTCGATTCCCAGGATCCCATATGATTCCCCCAAGCACTACCAGGAGTAATTCCTGAGTGCAGAGCCAGGAGTAACCCCTGAACATTGCTGCGTGAGCTTCCCCCCCCCCAAAAAAAGCA